ATCTGGAGGGGGGGGGAGGTCTCCCATCCACAGCCTAGCCACAGCCCGACCCTGCTTAGCGCCCCGGCTGGGTCCCCCGACCAGTCCCAGCCCCGGGCGGGGGAGAGCACAAGACCTGGAGCTCTTCCTTGGGCCCCCAGGAGTAGTGTGTGTGCAGCTGGGCGGGGCCAATGGCAAAAAGGGACAGTGAATAGACCAAGGGGCGGGGTCAGGTGCACAGGAGGCGGGACTACTAGAGAAATGGGAGGGGCTGGGAAAGGTGCTAATAGTAAAGGAGGAAGGGGTGGGGCAAAAAGGGTTGCAAAGAGCTAATAGGAAAAGGGGGCAGGGCCAGGGCCAAGGAGGAGGAGCTAGCAGTAGAAGGGTGGGGCCATGGCCAGAAAGGGGCGGGGCTCCCCGGAAGAGGGCGTGGCCAAGCAAGGGGCTCGCTCTGGTGGGCCCAGGGGCCGGCGGCGTCTCACCTGAAGCGCTGGGTCTGGTGGTGCAGCGGGCCCGTGTAGCGCCGCGCCGTGGTCTGGTACAGGTGGGTGAGCAGCGCCTGGCCCGTCTTCTGGCTGGGGTTGTTGGCGAACTTGACAGTGATGGGCTCGCTGGCGCCCAGCGGCTTCTGCCCGTTCAGCCCCTTGATGGCCTCCTCCGCCTCTATCCTCTTGTCAAAGCGGATGAAGCCCACCCCTCGGGAGACGCCTGCGAGGGAGCACAGCCAGGTCAGGGGTGGCCTCGGCGTGGCACAAAGAGGCACTGTGCACAGCCAGGTCAGGGGTGGCCTCGGCGTGGCACAAAGAGGCACTGTGGGGTCAGTAGGGGGCGCTGTGGGGCAGGAGGCCGGGCAGGGGCCCATCCTAGGCCTGGGGCTGGGGGGTGGGGCAGGCTGGGGGGGCGCATTTACCTCTTAACGCCGTAGGCCATGTTTAGCAAATTGTCCAGCCTGTGGGAGGAAGAGGGAGAGGAGAGGAGAGGCCTTGGTTAGTAGCTGACCCTGGAAATCGGGCGGGGGGCCCTACATGGTTATGGGTCAGGAAAGGGAGGGGGCATGTGTAGCTGTGGCAGGGGGGGCCA